AGTGGGATCCTGAGCCTTATGCCTTGCCTCTACATCCCCACTGACCCCTAAACAGACCACACCACATGCCATAACCACCAAGGTGAGAGGGAGGGTCAGAGTGAAGAGTTCCTCAAGGCAGCTTCCCCTGACTACCCTGGAGTCATCCCTGCCTGGCTGTGCACAATCCTCTGCTCACCTCCCTCATCATGGGAGGTAAAACATTTCTTCTAAAAAAAAATAAATGCACACAATTTTAAATGTATGACATGGCCAGTGCTTTATATAATCCTTTATAGACGCCTACTGTCCAGTAAGCTTTCCTGAGGTTTATGAGGTTCTGGTCCCATCCCTTTGTAGAAAGATGTTTTCCTCTATTCCCAGAGTGTGCTTGCTGCCTGGCTAGGAGCTTGCTTGCTGGAGCATTGCCACAGAACATCCAGTCATTTGCTTTCAGTGGCATGCCAAAGAGAAGGAACATGGCCCTGTAGCCTAAGGACTGAGTGCAGATACTTGGGATTTTCTTGTGTTTCAAATAAAGATCTGAGGGTAAAATCAGCCTTATTCCCAGCTTTCTTTCTGAGTACATGCAACTATATAGAGATTGGGTAACCCTTTAGTGAAGCATGAGTTTGATTTCTCTAAGATAGAGAAATATTGCATCTAACTCTGAAATTTCTTAAGGAAATAGAAGAGCACTGTGGATACTGGACAGACACTGATGCTACATAATACAGGGATCCTGGTCTGGCACATCAGGTAAGCAACTTGTTCAGCTTACTAAGACCTTTTTGCTGGTTGCAATTTAAACCCTCCTTCCCTGGGCTTGGAGGGGGTTATCTGGAAGGGGATGTAACTGGTAGCTTGTGAGATTCCCATTTGGTCCTCGCTGTGCCTGTTGCCAAGCGACACTTTGCAATGTGCATCCTGCAGCCAGTTAGGTACAACTCCAATGTGCTCCTCTTTTTGTCCTCAAAATGTGGCGTTATGGATTGCAGCCCTGTAGATGCCAGGCAGGGATGAGCTGTTCTGGGAAATGGGTCCAGCAGACCCGCAGAAAGTGTAACTGGATGCTACACAGCTGATATGAACTGATGTGGAAATGCTGTCAGCTCATCTACTCAGAAACCTGTTTGAGGCTGTGCCATCTGCATGCTCCACTGGCTGCTCCCAGCCGTGCCCACTGCTGCTCAGGGCTGGAGGCAGAGCTGCTGCTCCTGAAGCCTCAGGGCTGTTCCTTTCCCTTGGCAGTGGCTTCCTGCACAGTCCTGTGGTGTGGGCTGGGGCTGAACAGGGTGATGTCAAGCTGGGGTGAGCTTTCCAGTCAGATGCAGGTTTTGTGAGTAGACAACGCTCACGAGATGAAGAAGTTCATGGTGTCTGCCCTGTCCCTTCCCTGGGCCTTTCATTCATGTATTTGTGCTAGTTTTACAGGAAATATCCCTGCATCTTTAACAGGTTTTTTTTTGTCTAGTGAGCCATAGAAAAGGCAAAATGAAGTCCTATAAGAAAAGAGATCTGGCTGTAACACCAGATCTTTTCTTCGCTTACCCTCTTCTCCAAGACTGGATCAAGAATTTCCTTGTGAATCCCAGGAGAATCTGCAAAGTAAGTTAAAGGAGGGGTTGTTTTCCCCTTAGGACAGAAAACCCACTTGGAACACCTTGGAACAGAAAAACAAGTGGTCTGACATCTTTTAGAACAAAATGGAAGAATCCTGCAAACACTAATGTTTTCCTAGAGCTAGACAGCCTCCAAGCAGGAATTGTAATTATTAATTTAGATATCTTAAAATGTCTTAATGCTGTTTCAGGGGCCTAAATCCCACCTGACTCTGTTGGGGTATGATTAGGACCCACTTGAGGAGAACTTCAAGGCACAGAGACAGTGAATTCTTACCAGCATTTATGATATCACAATAATGAAATTAAAATTGCTCACCCAGTGAAATGGTTTTTAGTGATCCTCTTATGGTGTTGTGAAGACCCTCTGTAAGTTTTCTGGAACCATCCTTTTTGGATGAGTCCTGCATACATTATATCCCTCAGAGAAGTGATATGAGATGGAACAGATCTGGTGCAGGTGCAGTAGCAAAGCTTTAAAAGTGTTAGAAAAGTACGTTCAGAAGTGTGAACTTTCTTCACTGAGAGGGTAAATCAGTCAGGATAACAAAACCTGTTACAATTAACGAATTAGTGCATTCATTGGGAAAGACTATGAAAAGTCTAGCTACTTATCCCAGAACACAGGCTGAAGCTAACACTAAATTTACATTTCATTAAGGACAAAATACATCCCAGAGGACGTGGACAGGAAGACCAGTCTGTTTCACATTGGCAGAAAAGTGTAGCTCTGTTGCTGTCCCACTGCTCTCAGGTATTCCCCAAAAGAGGAATTCTCAACAGGAAGCTCCTGTTCTTTGTGTTTGTCTCCAGTAGTGCCCTACCACAGTTTTCCATGGAGGATACTGGAAATGCATGATACTTTTGCAAAGGTTCTAATGAGCAGTTTTGACATACTTCCCAATGCAAAATGCAGCTGCAAAATAAGCTGTGTTTATGGTAGGGATGGTTTTGTTCTAGGAATTCGGGCTTAAAACTCTAAAGAAACCTGCCTACATTACTGACGCTTTTCACTTTGGGTTTTTCGTCATGGAGAGTGGCATCTCCAACCACACGGCTCAACTGCTAGGAAATTCATCCACCTCCCAGTCTTAAAATCCACACTTGCCTTAGGTCCAACTCATGAAAAAGTTGTCCTGGGAAAGATGTCTCCCTCCCCTCCTCCTCCTCCACCCTGCAGCAGGACCCATTGTCTGCCGGCGGCAAGGCATAAAGGAGTTAACGAAGGAGCCGGCGAGGAGGTATGACGGGGTGATGTCAGAATATTTCCAGGGAAAGAATGTGCTGGGGGGCGCTGGCCGGGCTGGGGCTGGGGCTGGCGGCCCCCGGCCCCACCCCGACATTCTTCTTGTCCGGTTCCCACAGGCGGAGAGTGGCACGGGGGGTCAGAGTGGACGAGCACAAAGAGAGACCCCCTGCTGCCGGGGCCATCGTGCTGGGCTGTCACTGCTACTAATTCATGACTTCACCTTTAATCTCACTGATCCATTATAGGTTAAAAAGAGACCCATTTTACAGCTGACAAGATTGAAGGGAGCGCAACCCAGGAACTGGGGGGCGGGGGGGCGTGGGGGGGTGGGCATGGGGTCGAAAAAAAAAGAGGGGGAGAGAGAAATAACCCCCGCTAAAGTTTGTACAATTGGGACCATCTGCTAAAAATAGATTTTGTGGGGTTTGTTTGTCCTTTCCCTTCACTACGACAATATCTATTTTAAGAAGAAAGCTGGTAACTGCAGTTAAATCAGAATTTTTGCGCACAGGGTCAGAGCAAAAAGGAATGGGGATGAGAGGGAAGACCAGGGTAAGAAAAGATTAAGATTTTAGGGACAGGGCTGCACTGGGGAAAGGATGGGAAGCATTCAGAGAGCTTAGTGCTGTTTTTAGTGCATGTTTGGTGAGGTCATCATAAGGAAATGACTAAGAAATTTTTGAAATGCTGATGTCAAAGGTAAGCTGATCAAATCAACATTGATTCAGCAGAGTAGTAACTAAATGTGTGTGGCACTTACAGCATGTTTATAATGACACAAATGAAGAATTTTCAGAAATCATTAGACTTACTGTGCTGTGAGCTGCAGGTGAAGTCTCCAGAAGCAATTCCACTACTTTAGTTAGTAGCATAATCACGTCCAATTTGTCCTTTAATGAAGCTTTTTATGCTGTTACTTCAAGCAACTAAAGCACATATTTTCAGTGAACTTCAGAAAGTAAGCAAGTTGGAAAGAAAAAAGTGTAGTCTCTGAAAAAAATAAAGCAGTGGAGGAATGGTATTTTGCCATACACCTGCAAAAAGAACTGCTTTTTAGCATATAGCAAAGAATTCTTACATTTCCTGGTTTTGTTCTATATAAGTGAGGATGCTGTTTGTAGCTGTGTGTAATGCTAGTTCAGGGGCTTAGGGCATTGCTCCTTTTTTCTTCCTCTAACTGATGCTCTTTGACAAAACCTTTTAATTCCCAAAGCATATTTACCAAGTCCACCAAACTAGTCTATCACTCCTACTGTTCTGATTGTATCAGAGAGCATTGAAGCTCAAGAAGGAAATTGTTTGCTGGATTCTCTCTGTCTTTTTTGCCCTTGAACTTCTGGAGCTGCATCTCATAGAATTTTGCAACGTAAGTATGTAGTTTTATACTGCCAGAAGCGCCGAGCTTTTGCATGTGCTACAACATCCTGTTCCTTCCTTTTTCTGCTCCCAGCAGAGGAACTCTGGGAGTTACTGGCATCATGGTTGCCCACTGCCATGAGGTGAGGGTGGAGAGTGGGGAAGTTTATCATGAGGATGCAAAAGAAATTTGCAAAGATTTTTGGGTTTTTGGGAATCAAGTCTGTGAAGGAGATCAGCTTCTGGTGTCTGTTGTGGGAAGTTATAAGAAAGAATGGGGACCTTTTCCATGAGCCATTGTCAGTTATAGCCAGTGATGAAAGTCCTATTGAAAAGAGCCTCTGATCAAATCAAAACCTGTTTTCCTGAGAGTGACATTGCCTGCAAATGGAGGGAGATTGAGGTCCGTAACTGGCCAGTGCTTTGGACATATTCTGCTTGCTTTAGTCACACAAAATGACGTACTGATGCAAGTTTCCAGCATCCAAACAGGCAGCCCTTTCATAGGCAAAAGCCCTAATGAAGTCACTGGCAGGCAGCCTCACTGGCCTAAGGCCTGCAGGCTATTTCCCTAGTCAATACACTGGACCTAATCTTATACCCCTTGAGCATCAAACCCCATGTGTATTTTCTGCAAGTATTTGTTCTCTTTCTGCAGAAGTGCAAGATTTGTGTGCAGTAGAGTGCAGTGTCAGTGAGCAGCTGCTTCTCCTTCAGCATGAGTTGTTCAGCACACAGACTTCATTGGCTGCTGGTTGGACAAAACCACGCTGCAAAGCTGAGGCGAGGAAGAGCGAGGCTGCCAAATACAAACCTCCTGGTTTAGTTTGTAAGTGTCTGGAAGCAAAACAAAACAAAATTATTAAAGCAAAAGAAAATTTTAAATGGTTTCAGCAAATATTAAGAAAATATATATTTTTGCCTGGTAATCTGACTACTAATTTAGTGGAACATGTTAACTCTTCTGGTTAAGTTGAATGCAATCAGTGAAGCTGATTAACAACAAGTTAAGAGTTACCTTGCAAAATTGATTTCATTAACTCTTTGTAAGTTTAGTCCTTCTGGTTTCTGATCAGTCAGCTGGAATTATTTTTCACATTTCTAAGAGTGTAAGAAATATAGGTTGGAATGGCAGCTTCATATATTATCTTAGTTACAAAAGGTCATAAAGCACTAAGTTAAAATGCTAAAAATCATAAGGATGTTTCCATAAGGATGCTTTGTTTTAGGCAAGGAACTTGTATTTCTTCTTTCTTTCTGGAATTTTTTATTTAAGTGCTTTTCACAAGGAAATGTTATAATGCAATGCCCAGGTATATAGGTTAAAAGCATCTTTTAGAACTGAAAAATTACTATCTTCTTCACACTTCTCAGAGAATTATAGAATGAATAAAATTCTTTTGAGATATTTTTTTTCTAATAAATTTTTACATGTTCTGCAATGAACCTGTAGGTAGATGCCCAGAAGGAGCCTAGAAAGCAACTTCCATGTGTATTGGATGGATAAGGGTTGAACTGCTGAACTGGATGGCAACAGCCTGGCCTGGAAGCAAAAGAGGAGGGAATGAAGGTGGTCCAGATTACCAGACTAATTGTGAGTCCTCCCTGTTACCACATCCCTGTCACTTGTTAGGATAAGTGCTTGCAGTTCCTGCGAAACAACCCTGAAAGGCTTTTCCTCTAGCTGTGCTAGATCTGATCTAAGCCCACAGGCAGGCTCTCAGCTCAAATAGGTATGAAAATGTGGGCCTTTAGCTTTCTCTGGGAACTGACTTCCTTTGACAACTTGCATCCATGTTGTCATCATGCTTGGTGTGCTATAAATACATCCATGATCTTTGGTGCCAATCAACTAATACCAGGTCCTTATCACAACAAGCTCATACACCTCACAGTGTGCTCAAGGAGTTATCTTTCTATCTCCTTTTTAAAGATAAAACTAATCCATTGTAAACCCCATAACAAGGAGCCACTCACAGGGTGAAAGTATAAGTGCAGATTTTAAATGGTATTGTATTTGTCTCATGATGCTTGCCATTAAAGACACAGGTATGAAAAGATGCTCTGTGTTTTTATGCAGCACTGCTGTGGAGATAGAGTACAGTCTTCCTTGTGCTTGCCAAAGGATTTGTGCATGGTTTAATTAAAATGTATTATTATCCTTAGGCTTTTTCTTTTTTAAAGTGAAGCACCCTACGGAAGACACAGGACATTCAAACACCCAAATCTGTGTCAGCATCCTGCTGGCAGTAAGAGCTTTTGCACAAACATCTGATTGCAGAGTTAGAATTCAACAAAGCAAGAAGAAACAGGCTGGAGAGCAACTACCTAAATACATGCAGTAACACAGAGAGTGGGAAGCAGAACTGAGAGAACAATAAATGAAGAAACAATGAAAAGGTCAAGCACTTACTCAGGATTCGTAAGTACAAATGTTGCCATTCAAGCAGTGCAGGTGAAAAATGAAATTCTGTCTCTTCACAAATATTATATTTTGTCGCCGTATTTCTTTTTTCCAGCTCATGAATACTGCTGAAGGAAATCTTGCTTATATTGGAAAAACCCAAATATAAGATGCAAATAGCACATGGGGCCATCAGGACAGGATGAAGCTCCATTTTTGTGACTGCCTTCAAAAGAATGCCCTGATTTAAAAGAGAGATACATTTTGTGCAAATGATATTGGAACATTTGATGCACAAACATGATCTTCCATCCTTCCTTTCCACATAGTGCTGGTTCAGTCACAAATGTGTGGATGGCAGAACCCTCGCTTACTGTGTAAGTGAACTGGGGTAAGACATGTGTGGTGACCATGGTTCTGCAAGCTCCAGAGTTTGCAGAGCATCTGGAGCAGAGAGTTCCCTGGCTGTGGGGGGCTCACAGGTGGCTCGTGTGTCCACATGGATACTGAGGCTGGGTGGGGGCAGAGGGAAGGTGTGTCCACATGTAGGTGAAGGGTTGTTGAAGAAAATGGAAGAAGGAAATTACCATCTCAGGGGTTGTGAAGCCTAATACTACTTGAACTACTATTACAGCCATCAGACCAAGCTGTCTTGGAAAGGATAAAAGAAAGCCAACATGGCACATTGAAACTCCCATATGTGGTACCTTCAAGGATTCCCTTCAGCAGTGGTGTACCCCATAACAACTCCTTACTCAGGAAAAATATTTTCTCAAATATTCTTCAGTGCTGCTTACATTCCTGATCTTCTCCATCCCCTTCCTGTAGTGCATATGTTCCTCTGCTCTCTGGTGTTTTTCTTTTGGTACATGTTTCCTTGGCATGTGGTCCTTTCCCCTTCTGGACCTCCTGCCTCATCATCTTCTCCTACTGGCAATTCTGGCCCCATTGGCTTTCTGTATAGTGCTTGTACAGTTCTTTCTTCATGCTCTAGAAAAAGCAACGCAGGGGTGCAGTGTCAGACAAACCCTGATGAAAAAGGAAGGGATGGTTCTGACAACTCCGTGAACCTGCAAGTCTCTCACACTTGGAATCCTCTTAGCTCTTGCTGGGACTGGTTGCAGTAGGTGACTGAGCTGTAGGAACTGTTTTACCCAGAACTGACAAGACAGAAAATGGTGTATCACAGCTTTGAGAAAAAAGTGTGATTACACAGTACCTTAATTTCTATTTAAATATAATCCCAAATTGCTCCTGCATTTCTCTGACAACATCCGGGGTAAAAAGTATTTTCATTTGTTTTATTAAAAAAAATAAAAATTAAAAAAAAAAAAATCAAGTGAAAGCAAACAGACTCAAATTAATCCCCATACTAACTGCATTGCAAGTAATACAGTTACATCAGGGCTTCCTTTGGGTCAATATTTTCTTTTGCCTGAAGGCTAAATAGGTACTTAAGCATCACCTAATAACCAAAGACCAAATACAAGCACCAGGCTGACATGTCATCCATTTTCCACCCCCTCCAGATTGTTTCTGTCTGTCTCATGCTCTTCAAATGGCAATGCAAAGCCCATATGCTATGGTGTCAGGGAAAAATTCCCAACACAGCATCTGGCTGCATGGCAGATCCCGAGGCAGTTGGTGTATCAGCTTTGGAGCTGCCTCTGCTTTTGTCATGTACCAGGGATTGGTGATGGGACTGCCTTGTCACCCCACAAACCACTTTGGATTCCAAGGAATCACTAGGTTTGTGTTTGTCAATAAGTTTCTGCTTAAGCCTTTCATGAGCTCTCTATACAGGCCTCCTATTACAGCAAAATAATGAAAATTTCTTAACACCAATGTGAGTGTGTTCAGCAGAAATATGTGGATTTAGTTTAAAGTGGACCTCAGCCTGGTACATACAGGTCACTGTATACTGGGATTTCTTTCTCAGAAAACACTCTTAAATCTTGAATGCTCTTTGAAAAGGTCTTTCCCCCCCCCCCCCCCCTTTGCTCACCAGTGTAGAAGCCATTTCTTGATGAATAGGATCCATAATGCCTGGAGATATTTGAGATCAAGCATATGGTCCATTGAATATGCATGGCAGCGGGGTGGGAGGGAATTGATGTGCAGCACTGGGGAAAGTGTGTCTGAAAGTTAAGCAGTGCAGATTTTGGGGGCAGCCTTTCTGCATATTTAGGGAACCATCACTTTCTGTTTCCTCTGATATACTAGTGACTATCTAGCAATTTGTGGTCAAAAGCATAGCTGTGGGGGTTGAGCACTCAAAGTTTTGATCTTGGCTTGTGTTAGACGGAAAAATACCATTTCACTTGTGGTTTCCTGCAAAATGTTTACTTTTACAACCAAACCATTAAACAATAAAAACTCAAGTTATTCAGAAGTACATAAAGATAAGAAACTTATTTAACTGACAAATGATCAATTCTTTTCTAGGAGAGAGTCTCAAATGACTCTTCTTCACATTTAAATGAAAAGAGAGCTTGGAGATTACACATTCTGGTAAGTTTTCCTTACCAGTGGAGAGAGAGAAAAGGAGACAGGACTGAATAGGAGCGATTGGGCATGAAGTAGTAACTATGAGGTCCTGGAGGCAGGAGAACAAGAGAGGGAAGAAAAAAAAAGACAAGAGAACCCAGAAGAAAGGCAAGGGGGAGGAGGGGTGGAAGAAAATATATGTAGCAGTTATTTAAGAGATGGCAGGGAAAACTGGGATGTTTGTGTGTTTGAGAAGAAAGACAATTTTAAAGTACAGAAACTGAGCCGGAAATTATGAAGATTTACTGGAAATAACCCTGGGTAAAATGTTACATATCTGAGACTTGATTAAGTTTTGGGAGGGGTGGGGGGTTTGATTTTTTTATGTCATTGCCACAGCATTTTTTTTACATGTCAAAATGTGAATTAATCTCTATATCACAAATATATTAAGATTAATTTACTTTATGGGGCAAAATAATGTATCACACTGCATTTGTTTCTTACGGTTGCTGAAAGTCCTGGAGAAATTAAGAATTAAAAGCCTTTTTAAAGTAACCTTCTCCCTCATATGCAGGATGTGACAGTGGGGCAACCACAGTGATGTGCACCATCGTCAGTATTCCTACCAAAGGAATTTTCGTTTTCTGATCTTACTAGTAAGAGTGGATATGGGAGAGAAGAAAGATGCTTCATTACTGCATGTAATAGCCCTGAATAAATTGCACAAAATTGACCTCTTGCACATCTTGAGTCCTGCAGATATACCATTTTGTGGAGGACAATGTGTCTGTGTGTGTGTGTCTGTGAAAAATGCCTGTATGGGGTCATGTTCTAAAACAAACTCTATGTCAAAACCAACACCATTCACCATTCTGAAACAAAACTCTAGACCTTTCTGCTGTCTGGCTAGTGTGGGACTGACCCTTCCGAATTCATGTATTTCTTAAATCTGATTTAAAATCACAAAGGTGGGGGGAGGAGAAACACTAGGTTCATATACTCTTATTTTTGTCTAGTCAAGTAGGCATTTTCAATGGTGTCTTTGTCAGAACAGTTCTTCCTATCAATGGGTCCTGTGTGAATATTGAGGATGACAGCTTAAAGTAAGACCAGTCAATCTATTACAGCCTCTCCTGCAACTGTGTCTTTGGAAATGCTTATGCATGTATGATATACTTACATAATATAGGATTGTTTGCTTTTATATGAGTTTGCTTTATATATATATATATATATATTTATCTGAGGAAAGCCATTTAAATGTTTAAACACTTTCTACAGTAACATGAACACACTCAGGTAGATATTTGTAAGGTACTTAAGCTAGAGTGTTTTAAAAATAAGCAAAAAGAGAATAAAATGGTGAATCTTTTAAGGCATCTTTCTAGCAGGTTGGAGAACAAGCCTCCTGGCTGAGCTGCTCATGAGCAGTGATTTCCTCCGAGGAAATTCCATAGTGCAACAAAACCAAATGCATTCAACCCTTGGCCCATCTGAATGTGCTGGAAAGCAATCCAGCCTTTAGTTGGATTTCTTCTTTACAGATCTCTTAAATGACTCCAAATGCTGTGCCTGTGGTGGTGGGGAGCCCGGGGGCAGGACTCTACTGTAAAAGCTGTGAGTCACACATAATGTGCCACTTTCTGCAACAGTCCCTTTCAGCACTTTCAGCATCAGTCCCTCTAGAGACTTTTCAAAGTTAATGAACATATCTGGATGCAGTGGTCTCATGCCTTAAGTTTGAAGGTTAGCATCTGTTTACCACTCATTAGAAAATTTTATTTCAAGAGAAAATTATGCAGATTCAGGGTACTTGTCCTCAGAAAATTCAAAACAAAGCATCTTGGATCTGTTTATGTTCAAATCCACTTGCTACAGTTCTGTGCCCAAGAAAATTTTGTCCAAGTAAAACATAACTGTCAGAATTTAGTTATATTCAGGATGTTTTCTGGGTTCTTAATCACTGTGGATCCTGTTTCACAAAGATCTGAAATATGTGCTGGAGTCCAAGAGGCTTCCATGTAATTTAAGCTGCTGTAACATAGGCTTGGCCTGAAGCAGTTGCTGAATAAGCACGGGAGTGCACACACATGCTTAGATCCAAGGAGGTGCTTGAGTGCTGCACCAAGTCATGGCCTCCTTCTAAAACCTGACTTTCCATCACTGAAGCAAGTGATGGTAAAGGTCTGGTTTCCTCCAGGCATGCCAGTCCAGGAACAACGTGCCAGGCAGCCCTCCACTTTCAGGGGGCTTGTGCTGAAGAAGGCAGCTGTGTACAAATATTTCTCTGGAGTCACAGGAGTTACAGCATGCATGATCACTAAGTTCACTCAAAACCTAACACTTTTTTCTTAAGAGCTAGGGGGAAATGTCTACTCTTGCACTT